CCGTATAATATAATTTATAATATATATATATATATATGTTGTAGGTATTTATTTGTGTTTTATTGATGGTAATTAATTCTATTTTTAATATATATATATATATATATATATATATGAATTTATGTGTATATATTAATCTAAATAAATTATTAGGATCATGTAGTATAATTATATTGATTTGTATCTAATTTGTAAACCATGTCTTTTTTCACATCATAATTTTTGTTTAATTTTTGTTTAAGTTATCAAATACGGAGACTTTTGGACGAATTTTTAAAAAGTTTAGGGTTTTATGGATTGACCACAGTGAATATAAGATTTAATTAATAATGAAAAATATATAGGATTTTTTCTAGGAAAGAATACAAAATTGTTTTTGACAATATACCCTAATTAATACCAAAATAAATAGTTTTAATCATATTAAACAAATGATAAAGTTCAAAAGGAAAAAAACAAAGATAATTTGCTTTCTTTTGATAAAAGATAATATTCTTTAACAAAAAGACGATACTGACAAACTTCTAAAGGTAAATTTAAAAGAAATTGTAGATTAAATTTAATAAAACTATACAAAAATATAATCACATTATTTTTATACACAAATTTAATTTGAATTGTATACTATTTGAAATAGATCGTGTGGTGAAGAATAACATGCACAGACGTAATAGAAAAATACTTATAATGCGGCCATAAACGGTTTTCTAAAAGAATTAAATGAAAGTCAAAATTAAGGGAAGAAATTTAGTTGAATTGTCTGACTGAAGTGGACCAAAGAAGCGACCACTTGTCAAAGGCTCGATTATTATTATTATTATTATTATTATTATTATTATTATTATTATTATTATTATTATATGTTCTCGTCGCCTCCTCGAAGCATCTGATATACCGAGCAACTTGCAATTGTTATATAATATAGATAGATAGATAGGTTAATAAATATATGCTTTCGTAGCAGCTTCCTTAATTCTGCACCGATTGAAATACAGATTACGATCATTCAAAAGCTTATAGGCTAAAGTCCATATATTGGATTTTACATAAAAAGGTCAAAAACTAAGTTTCAATTTGTTTTCGGTCGTCGGCGTGACAAAGAAAAAAACGCAAGCGTGTCATGAAGCAAAGCTTCTTCGCTCGCATGCGATCTTTGCTTGGCACGTGGCGTGCTCGTGAACCCCATGCACCCCATCTCTCTCCCCTCCAAATGAGTAAACGTATCCCCGGCCGGTACGGTAGAGCGAAGTTGGTTTGGACCTGACCGGTAATCCGGTGATATTTTACAAAACCGACTTCAACAATTTTGATCCATCTGCCTCGTTATAATCGTTAACAAAAAAACGTGGCTTTTCTCTGAATGTACATTGGAAATATCACCGTAGAAATCGCTATACATTAACATACTACGTACATGCATACGACATACATCGTAGAAATCGCTATTTAATTTGTAACCTCGTACATCACGCAAATCACTCTCACTTACACTTGTACACACACACACGCATATACATATATAGATAGATATATCTATATGGCAACGATTAAGAACCCAAAGATCCATCGACCAACTCCGAAATCCAATCGACGTGCGACAAATCAAAATCGGACATCTCACTGGAATCATCCATAATGCTCATCCCGTGAAAACTCTTCCACAGCTCCGTCATCACCATCTCCCCATGATTAACTCCGCCTGCGTTCCACGTGGTACCACCGCCAGCGGGCCCCACCGTCGCCACAGCACCACCGCGGCTGCTCGACGCTGCAGCCGCCGCAGGGACAGGGCGGGAGACGAATCGGCAAGCCTGGCGGCGGCTGGTCCAGCCGGCTGCCGGAGCTGATCCGGCGAGTGGGCGAAGAAACAAACCTTCCTCTGGCAGAACTTTCCGGAGTTACAGGCGCGCGTGCGGTAACGCGCCGGGTGGAGCCAGTACTCGAAGACGCCGTGGGCGAAATCGCAGGTGTCGCCGCGGTGGCACACGCCGTGCCTGTAGGCTGGACACGAGACGGCGCAGTAGCCGTGCCGTCGTGGGTCCCGCCGAGTCGCCTTCTCGCCGTGGTGGGCGTACGGACCCTCGGTCCAGTCATGGCTTCTCGTGCGTGGGCACCGCTTGATCTTGTACGCGTACATGCGGAACTCGTCCGAGCCGTAGATCATGGCTTTTTTGGCGGCTGAGATTGGCGAATCGGCGTACACGCCTGCATTCCCCGGTTTGTTCACCATGTACCCCACCGTAGGGTATTGCTGCTCCTCGAACTCGTAGATTCCGTTCGGATTAGGGTTTGTACCTTTATACATTTTCCTTGATAGTTTTCTCGCGAGGAAATCGGAAAAAGATTGTAAGAAATTAAAGCGATGATGATGATGATGATGATATAAAATTATATGAAAATCATACAAAAAAGGGTAGCATAAAGGTATGCAAAACGAGAAACTCTCAGGAAATCATTACACATTTGGGAGACCCCATTCTTGTTCTTCGTGCTTTTCCCATATAAATGTAAGCAATTATGCTTACATATATTTCCTCAATTACGAGGAGAGAATTAATAATAAAGAAAAATGGAACAAAGGACTCTGTAAAGGTTCGAGGCTTCGAAGGATGCATTTATAGGAGGACACATGAATAGTTTAATATTTTAATTTATTTTTCGAATTTCAATCCAAAAAATGCCAAAATAACTGAAATAATTTTACTCTTCTCTTTAATTGACCTCAAAAGGTGCACACGGGGTATAATTAAAATATCTTCTTTTTCTTGGTAATGTATGATTAAAATATCTTGACGTTAACGCTTCTTCTAATTGCCGAAGAGTGATGTCAAGCATTATTATGATTTTGAAGCCTTTGATCGAAATTAACTTAAAGAGTATTATATCATATATAAGTTTTTTTTTTGTTAAACTTATATCATGTAAGGTTTCATGAACGCATTATTGTCGAATAAGATGTATGTAGAGGCAATAAGCACGTAAAAAAAAAATAGAATGACAATACATATCTATATATATGAACTTTCACAATGATTTCTACCCCCAAAGAGAAGAACTCACCAGTATGATGATGATGACGTAGATCCTTCGTTTTCGGGTAAAACGCAGAAGTTACATGCGGTCAAAGAGGGTGGTTTTAACTGGAGGGAGGGTGAAAATTGCATGGGAATCCACACGTGGTGGTGATAACCAGACGGGCTTATAAAGGGACAAAAGTGTTCCTCAGCTGCTTCTTTCACACGTGGCACACGTGTCGAGATGCTTCCTTAAAATCTTGCACAGCCGTTTCTCTGTTTCACTTCTGGGTTGGTTTGTGGGCAGTGGACACTCAGGACTAAAAAGAGAACAAGCTTAGATATATTAAAGACATGTCATGAATTTATTACAAAAAATAATTAGAAGATATTCATGACCTGTTTCTTAAATATGAATTACTATTATTATTAGAAAAGATCCTAAAAAAAACATTAAAATTTTCAATTTCGACAAAAAAAATATACTAAAATTTTAATTTTATTAAATAAATATTAAATTTTTTAAATTTATCAGAAAATATTTAATTCTTCTAGGATTATCAAATTGACGTGGTATAAGATATGCAAACACATCAAATTATTATCGTTGGTTTTTTTGATAATTGTATATAGTTTATACATTTTTTTTAAATCATTTAAAAAGTTTAATATTTTTTTATAATCGCATAAAAGTTTATATATTTTTTAAATTATTTAAAAAAATTAATATTTATTTGATAAAAAAAGTTCGGCGTTATTTTTGTGAAAATTGTAAAATTTTAATATTTTTTAAGATTTTTTATCATTATTATAGAAAAAAATAGTTTTGACGATTAATGGCAAAACGCCTGACACAAAACTTATCATCGTGACTCGTGAGCACCGAAATTTTTTACTTGCATTGTTAAATGTATAACCCTGCATTTTTAACGGTTACAGCTTTCTTATTACATATATATAGTCATTATAAATCATTTAAATATTAGATAACACAGTCGGATACATTTGGGTTGATGAATTAACCGTTAATTAGAAAAGACGACTAAGATTAAAAGGCCCTTAATCTTAAGTTAATCAAAGAAATTAATGCTCGCAAAGCATCGGTAGAAGAAGACGAAATCCTAAATCGAAGAAACGGAGAGAAGAGGGAATGCGCATGCGCGGCCCCACGTGGCGGCTTGAAAGCCATTATGGTTGGATTCATATATAAATATAAAATGGCAGATACATTAGGGCCGATTAGTATATTAATTTAAGCATTTAATTAAGCTTTTTTAAACAGTATAGTTATAAAATATATCCACTGAATTCTATCATGAAGCATCTGATCTTATATAAATTTAATTGTCGGTCTACCGTATTTTATTCATAAAACTATATGCTCGAAACTGTTCTTAAATATATATATATATATAACTTGCTTTGCGACTTTATTCTTAAAAATATATAAATTATGGCCAAATTGGTTAAATTATTAGGTTGCAAACAAGTTGGGAAACAAATCTTCGTACATGGAAACATATTGGGCTATATTTTCCATCTCAAACTGTTTCCACAAATCTCGTATATTGTTATTATTTTTCAATATATTTAATGATTGATGATATTCGACATTTATCCATAGCGAATTTAGCCAAACTGTATAACATATTATTATTAATCGCAATTTTGAAACACGTGAACGGATAGGAAAAAACACTATCGGAATTATATATATTTATTTTTTGCTAATATCCACTAATTGATTAAATTCTTATTTATATTAATCCCTAATGATAAACCTCACAGCATAAAAGGAGCTGCAACTGTTTACACGATTGAATTTGGCTCCCGATAAGTAATGTCATGGATTTTCTTTATTTTTTTAAATATCCGCAATATATGATTTAATGGCTCACCTGCATACCTGGAAAATCTAGAGCAAATTAAGGTGGACTAGATCTAACGGCTAAAAATCTCTAGCAAGCACAACCTATCAAATCTCAACCGTCGGTTCCGATATTAGGCTGATTCTCTTCGATTTTTCATATGGTAAATTTTTTCGAAAAAAAGTAAAGGATAAAATAAGGGAAAAACACAAAATTATCTTTAGGGGCGTGCAAAGGGTTTTATAGCAAAGCAAATTCACCAAAAGCAGCTCATATACCTATATATTATCTCTATATAATATATTTACATATAATATATATATATAGAGAGAGAGAGAGTCGCTTCTTTTATGTGAAAAACCAAAAAAGAAAGAATATCAAAGTTGAGAGATATGGTGGAGATGGCGGCGG